TGATGGCTCATACCTGTAACCCTATTACACAATTGGTAGAAGCAGGAGGGTCAGGAGTTCAAGGTCATCTTCAGGTGTAATGGTGAGTTTGCAACTGAAACGAGCCTGGGAGCCATACTAACTCTACTCTCTCTCCTTACTCCCACTACCTGGTTCATTTGTGCCGTTCTTACAGAACACTGAGATGACGTAATTTACAAAGGGTGGAAATTCATTTCCTTACTGTTCTGGAGGTTGAGGAGAAATCCGATATCAAGCTGCCAGGAGGCTCTCTTGTCTGCTTGGGAAGGGTTTTTCTGCTTCAAAGATGGTGTGTGTTGCTGAGCCATCCTGGGAGGGGAGAAAAATCATGTCTTCAAGCTGCCCAAAGTACAAAAGCAAGCAGCCTGAAGTGAGGGCTTTCATCCCGTTCATCAGCTCTTAAAGGCCCTGTGTCTTAATGCTACAGTGTCAAACACCTGTGCCCCAGAGGCCTACAACACTCACCTGCACCTGTCTGTCTCTGAGTTCATGTACTCAGAGACCCCATGTAAACAGACTCATAGGGATTTTGCCCTTTTCTAATTGGCTCACTTCACTCAACAGAATATGTTCGGGAGACATGCATGCTGTAGTGTGTGTCAGAAGCTCCTTCCATCTCAAGACTAAGCAACATTCCATGTGTGCCTATGTCACATTTGCTGTAGCCATACATCTGTTGGTAGGTGCCTAGGCAGGTCCCACCTTTTGGCTACTGTGAGAATGCTGCCATATGCCTTTTTGGTGTACAGATCATACTTTGTTGTGGGGCTGGATCATCTAAGTCTATGCTTAAATTTTTGAGGTGCTTCACACCCCCTTTAACTCAAGCTTAGTGAGAAGTAATTTACTGCAATTGAGATTAGACCATTCTTGGTTTTCCAGAAAGCTCCATGAGCTCCGTGACTCAGGTTAATACTGTCCAACTTCTCAAGAGCCCCAGGTCTTTGCAGCATCACCAAGAAGCACTAATGTCTTGAGGAGATGTAAAAATTGAAGCCTTGCTTAGACTCCCCAGTGCACAAGTGATGAGTGATGAGGAGGATCTTAGATGCCTCATCTTGAGGAACTTGGGAGGAGACAGGAGATGTTGAATGAGGCCTTCCAAACCCGGATATAACTCCCAAATGCCAGAGCTCAGTTCAAAAGTTAACCAGAGGAAAAAAGAAGGCTTGAAAAAATGGTGTGGGAAAAAGCTTGGGGATGAGGTCTTACTCCTCACAGGAATGAAGCAGGCGTCAACTCACCCCTAAAACCTTTAAATGCCTACCCACGGCATACAGAAAGGAAACTGAGCTGAAGCCTCAGGTGAGAACATTAAAGCAGCCCTGATTGAAACAGGCGAGAGCAAGTGGCTAGAAGCAGCCTGTGATGGTCCATAAGCAACCTCTAAAACAGTCCATTCCAGAAAGCCCCCGTTGACAGCTAACCCTGTCCAACAGGTTCTTGTCATTCCTGTCTCCAAGCACCTCCCATCCTCAGGCCTGGAGACAATTGTCATATAAAAGAATCCATAGGTGAAGGGGATTAACTGTCACAGGTCAAACCTGTCCCTGTGTAAGGCTGGGCCCTCCAGATGCTCATGTTGGAGCCCAGTCTCTGTCAGTTTCAGCTGCTTTGACAAAGTGCCTCAGACTCATTTCCCACAGTGCCAGGGGCGGAGAACCCTGAACCAGGGTGATGGTGCTGGTGTGGTTCTGTGGTGGAGGTGGGGGGCTGTGTGCCTCACCTAGGTTGTAGACTGCTGCTGTTTTTCCATGTTTTTGTGGTAGAAACTGGGCAAGAAAGCCATGCTATCCCCTTCATGATGACAATAATCCCATTCTCCTCTCTAAAGCTTGGTCTTCTAAAAGCTCACCTCAGAGGGCAGGATTTCAGCAGCCTTGGAAGGGGACACAAAATCTCAGTCTGAGTATTAATTTCTGTGCTTCTAATTACATCCTCTTGACGATAACGTAGCCAGCATGTCCTGCTTACTGTGTGAGCAGAGCCTGCCCACTGCTCACCAGGGTTCATCCCAGCAACATTTAATCTTCACACCAGCAGGGGTTATTTCAGACCCCTGTTTACAGATGAGAAAACTCAACTGTGAACATGCTTCCTGTAGACACAGGTGACAGAGCTTTCAGAGTAGGACTCCTGGACTGGAGAGCGTGTGATCTGAGCCACTGTGAGGGATGCTTACAGCAGGCAAGACAAAGAAGACAAATGAACACACCTCAGGCTGAAGCTGCTTAAAGAAGACTGTCATGTGCATGCCTCAATACCCCTGGGTGACTGGAGGGTGGGGCCCAAGGAATTTTTTGTCTGGTTTTTTGGGAGATTGGTTAAGACAATCTTTCCTGATCATGATAGCCTTTCCACAAGTATGCTTGATCCCACTCCATCTAAGAGGTAAATGCTTCTCCTCCGCATCCCTCACTGTTAGAAATACACCGACTTTTAACAAGTCCTGGTCATTTCGCTGGTGAATCCCTACGCATGGGAGCTCAGGGCCAGACTCTCAAAGGATGTAGTGTAAAAGTGACTACTGTCCCATCTTAGAAGTGTTCCCATTTGACTTAGTCCCTTGTCTACTTCCCCAACCATATTCCACAGAACACACATGACGATGATGTGCCTGTCCCACATCTGTTACCTACAAAGAATATCATGAAGCCACTTGAGTTTACATGTATTTAACTGCAAGGATAACAGGGCTTGTTTTTCCCTGTATCTCTTAAACGAATTATTTATATGATTTGGCAATTTTTCTATACAGTGTCTTTTCTTGCTTAGATGCAATATTTTTTATATATTAAAGATATGACAATATCAAAGATAGCAAACATTTGTATTCAATTCATGATAATTTCTTTGAATCTTCTCCATTTTGAATTTCTCATTTTGTGTGTGTGTGATATGTGTGTGTGTGATATGTGCATGCATGCTCATGTGTGTGAGTATGGGCACACGTATGTCATGCACATGTACAGCAGTTGGAGGACAACCTCAGAGGCTTGTATGCATGCCAACATGTTTGAGAGAGGCTCTCTTGATGTTTACCACTGAGCACTCCAAGCTAGCTGTCCCCAAAGCCTCCACTTACTCCCTTCCTGCCGCTGGAGCCGTGGGATTGCCGACCCACACAGGGGCTTCTGAGGGTTCCAACTCGGAACCTTGTGCAGCAAGGGCTTTGCTCACTGCACAGCTCCTCCCCCCCTTCTTTAGCTTCCGAATGTTAGTTTCTGTAGACAATGCAGCACGTTCCTTTCGTGTTGTTCACACGCTCCCATGGACATCAGCATCATCTCAGTGCTACCAGCTCTGCCTCTCACAGCCACGCTCCTTCTAAAGGCTTCATTTCTAACTCGACTAGTCCACAAGTGGAGATCAGAGCACTTCATGCCTTCTCCTTTATGGGAAGAAGGCTGCATTCCAGCAGCCACTGGGTTTTCCTGAGTCACTAGAGATCACATCACAGAAGAAACCAGATCAAGACCCGATCATCGGATCAGGGTCGATTTGGTTACTAATGGCCATCCGGGCCATGAAGAACTAGCAATATCTGCTGGGTCTTCATGCGGAGGAGTGTGTGCCATGTGCACAGACCATGAGCAAACCGTTATGCATAGAGTTGTTCTAGGCAGGACTGGGTGGCCATCACAGGCATCAGGGACAATGCAGTAGAAGGAGAGGACGAAGGCTCAGGAAGCTTAGGGTTCAAGATCACAGTTGATGAGTGGACTAAAGTCTCTGCTTCTCTCCTTCCCAAGGGATCAGACCTGGGAGGTCTGTTTTCATGGGTATCTAGGTGGGCACCTCTGCTTGTAGGGTTGGTTTCTAATGTCTTAGGGTCAGAGCGGTGGACCTGTTCTTATGGCTGGGCCCCAGCACACTTTGATGGGTGGGTCATACCCCTTATGTTTCTCATGCAGCCTCATCCAAGCTGGGGAAGCTGTCATACACCACAGATACCTCGGAGGGGGACACAGATGTGTGCATGAAGGGACTATTAGGTGTATTAGCAAGCCTAGCCTCAAACCCTATAGGTTTAAAGTTAGGTAGAAGGGCCCAGAGAGGGCCATGGCCAAGTGTCCTCCTGGCTATAACATTTAGAATAAGACTTAGTTTTATTCTAAGTCATAGGAAGGATCTGTTTGTTTGTTTGTTGTTGTTGCTGACTCCCGGAGGGGTTTAACACCTTGGCCCAGCTGTGAGCCAGCCGTCTCTGGTGTATTGCCAGCTCAGATCACTTAGTGCCCTCCTTATTTTATTCATTGGATGAGTCTTACTCTAGTAAGGATTTTAGTCCTTGATTGTATTTGTTGCAAACATCTCCTGGTTATTACCTGCTTTTCCTATCTTTTCCGAATAATAGGGGCTCTTTGGCTAGTCAGGTGATATCAGGGACAATATTTGCTTTGGGTTGTCCCAGAAATATTTCACATCCCTGGACATTTCTTTATCTCTGGGCCGGGGTTGGCAATCAGCCCGCCCCTCAGAAGACAGAAGTGGAGGGAGGACCCTGGGTTGGGCCGCCCTGCTGGGTACGCTCCTGGCTATGGATCAGGACACACAGGGGTCAAAGGTCTCTCTTGCCGGGAAGAAGACCGAGGCTCAGCAGAAAGCCGTGGCCACTACGAAAGAGGCCAAGTTCCACGCCAGGCTTAGAAGTGGAAACTGGGCATGGCCTGGGCAAGCGAGCTGAAGGGCGAAGGTCCGGTACCCCGCCCTGGAGCCCCGCCCATTGGGTCCCGCCCTTTCGAACAGAGAGCGCCTTCTGGCTCTGCCAGTGACCTCCCTCCGCTGAAGTCATTGGTTGATTCTCAGTCTCCGCCCCCGGAAGAGCTGCCTATCGCAGCCAATCGGCGAGCGCGGCGGCGGTAGAGTCTGGGAGAGAGGTACCCCGATCGGGCGCAGGGGCTTCGGAGTTGACTTGGGGGGTCGGGGCTTATGGGGTCGCTTGTCGCCGTGAGCCTGGGGGTGGGCTGCTACTTCAGGGCCGGTTGTCGTAGCCGCGTCCGCGGAGGGCCGGTGCCGGCTTGTGGGGGTGGCAAGATGTGTGCTCCATGGAAAGTTGGAGTCTGCCCGTGTAGGCCCAGGGGTGGGGCTGCCTCAAATTTGTTTCATCTTCTGCTTAGGGACACCCCACCTGTCATTGAAGGGAAACGGAGGCCTCTGCTGGTCGCCCCCGGCGTTAGGGGCTCAGAAATCCGACACCAGAAGGAGATACATTGAGGCTGGCTGTGCCCCCCCCCCCAAGGACCTCCCCGAAGGCACCGCCAGGAATGCCCAGAGTCCCATTCGAGCCATTTGGAAGGGGAAAGGAGGTTGGTTGAGGCTCTGGTGTTTGGCTCTAGGTAACCTTAAAGGGAGCACGGGAGTGTAATGAGTGCAGGGTGACCGTGAGAAAAGGGCCAATTGGACTTAGGCAGGCATTTTTTCCATTGCGCGCTTCTCAGGTCAAGTCAGCCAGGGTCAAAATAAGAGACTTTGTGAGCCATGGTTGCTGTCGGCTGAAGACACCTTGGAATGCCTTTCGAGGTTTTTGTACAAAGAATCTGAATGTAAGATTCATAGCGTCTAGGAGCTGAGAACCGCACTCAAGCCTTCTGTGTGCAGGCTGTGGGAGGGAGGCCCCGCTAAGGAGAGGGAAGAGGGTGGGGACTCTGTATTTGCTACATAGTAAACAATTAGGGAAAGTGTGATTTTATCCTGCCTAAGTCCCCTGTGGGCTAGTGTGAGCATGTTGTCATTCTGTCCTGTTGGTGTTTGGCCACTATTGGCAATGTTGACTCCTCTTTAGGAAGCCAGAGGAGAATGAATAGCATTTGTGTGGAATTAACTCCAGGCTTGGTTGTTTCCAGTTAAGAAAATGAGGCAGAAGGAAGTGTTGGCCAAGACCTTCCAAGGCCCAGCTGTTGTCTGTAGGACTCCAAACAGCCACGTTTACATGTTCAAGGATGGCAGTGGGGACTCTGAGGACTCCTCTGAGGAAGAGTCACATCATGTGGTGTTACGACCCCGAGGCAAGGAGCGCCAGAAGAACAGCATCCAACACCCTCAGCATCCCAGAGCAGGCAACATAGTTCTGCTGCAGCGCGAGCTGGCTCAGGAGGACAGCCTCAACAAGCTGGCTCTCCAGTATGGCTGCAAAGTAAGCTGGCTCAGTCTCTGAGTAAGCTGACTGGTCAGTTAGTTGGAAACCTCAGCTAAGGGTGTGTTTTCCTTTGCCCCGACTTTCACGGTGACACCATGAAACTTTCATCACATTGGGTTTAAGATCTTTAGGGGCTGGAGATGGTAGGTGGAGATCACCCAAAAGATCCTTGGCATGCTTGCTCCTCTCGATACTGTATTCTGACCTTTTCTTGACATTAGCTAATCTGACTGGTAGAGTTTTTCCTTCTCTCTATTAGAACTGCATGGTCTAGCCTCTGCTGTGCATTTGTATAACCTTATCTTTCTCTTTAATTATGTTTTTAGCATTCAGAGTGATTAACAGTGGCAAAGTAAGTAGGAAAAGTATTTCTGGAATCGCTCTTTTCCCCCTGCATCAAAACGACTTGTTTCAAGCTCTAACCCCATGCTATATACTGGTAGCATTCACCTAGGCTGCATCAGCTGCACAATTTAAAAAAAAAAAAATCTTTACTTCCTAGAAATTGTCTGTTGTTTACCTAACAAGATCCAAATGAGCAAAAAAGATTGTGTGGGTGTGGGGTCTTTCCCAGCATAGTGGAGGCTAGTCTCCAGGGACACACAGCAGCTTTGCATTATGTCCGCCTTTGTGTTTGGATCTTCTCATCTGCTTCTGTAGGCGTAGCCTACAGACCATGGGCTGGAAAAAAAAAAAAAGTCTTAGAAGAAAGACTGAGTAGGCCTGTCAGATAATGGTCTCTAACAAATCCAGAGTGGATGCTTAGGGCCTCTTCTAAGCAGCCCGGTCTCAATTGGGGACAAACACACTTGCTGTTCATCTAGTGCACAAACAGTGAAAGCTGACAATTTCAGGGCACGATTAAAAAAAACAAAAACATCCCTCAAGCAGGGTTAGTGAGACCCTAAAAGTGGTTGCTCAATAAAATAACCACACACACACACACACACACACACACACACACACACACACACGATGGACCAGAACAATAAACTCTGTGGCTTGCACTTACATTCTAGGTAAAGTTTTCAAAAGTAGCTTGAGGGGGAGTTTAAAAGTTTTCTGTTAGACACTTTGTGCCCCTGACTGTAGTTGGGAATGGGAAAGTCTTAGTCCGGAACTCCTAGGTAGATTGCTGATTGCCTAACCTGCTTCTAGTGAGAAGTAGGACCTCCCCAAGGTCGATTAACTCCCAGTCATTTCTATTCAGAAAGTAAGTTCCTGTGCCTGCACGATTTCTGGGAAAGCGCTAAGGCAGCATCCTGAGGGAAGCATTGGGTGTTGGACCCTCTGAATGTGTGTTCAGGGCCAGTGCAGGCTTTGCTGAGCGTGTCTGGCCACTTGCTCAGCTGGATTCTGGTGTGAGAGGGGCCACTGTTGCCTCAGCACTTGACAGAAGAGGTGGCAGTGTTGGTCCTGTTTCACCTGAAGCTTTTGTTGTAGTCACTTTCCAAAACTGATCTGAAATTGTTCCAGGTAGAACAGTTGATTTATGAGCTATTCATTATGTATATGTATATATAGCCAAAGCTCAAATTACTCTGGCAAAATAAAGCTGGCTGTGGTTGCAGGTTCTGGTCTTCATGAGCTTCTTCAATGGATGTCAGCAGGCTTAGGTTTCCGCTGGGGCTGGGTACTGGTTTTAAGGAACATCGTGTGTTTATAATGCATGGCTTCCCTAGGTCGCAGATATCAAGAAAGTGAACAACCTCATCAGAGAACAAGACCTGTATGCTTTGAAGTCGATCAAGATTCCGGTGAGAAGTCATGGGATTCTCACAGAGAGCCACCAAGAGCTGACCCCCTTGACGGGCCCGTCCTTCGAGGCCGGGGTGACCCTGGTGGAACTGCCTGAAGATGAAGATGCCGCTGGGCCAACTGCTCAGGGGAACCAACTGACGGATTTCTTTAAGGGAATTGATGAGAACATCGAGCGGGCTGCGCAGTCTGACGTCTTCCACAGTGGCAGCTGCTGTGTGGAGGCCCTAGATGAGCCGCTGCTCCCCACAACCCGGAAGCCACCAGCAGACGGTGCAGACTGCGGGATTCAGTGGTGGAATGCTGTCTCCCTCGTGCTTCTCATTGGGATTGTGTTGCCAGTGTTTTATCTCGTCTACTTTAAAATACAAGCCCCCGGGGAAGCCTCGAGTAGCTTGAATGCAACTGTTGTCCCCAATGGCTCGATGACACTGAGCCCAGTCCCAGGGCAAGCCCCCAATTTGCCAATTCCAGTGCCCACCCTCTCCTCTTTGGACAGCCAGGTCAGCTCAACCAGCCAGGCAGGGGCCTGAGCTCATCTATTCTAGAATTGGCAATGCTTTGGCAAGTGGCTCTTGATGTATGTAGCTGTCACTGGCTGTTTGCTGGGAGTGTTGCATTTTGTTTCCTGGGATGTATGGACATTAAAGAAGTTGTCATGTCAGTCTGGATTGTATGGACTGAGGAATGGCCTGGCCTAACCCAAGGATGCAGGAGTCCCGACATCACCATTGCAGCAAGAGAGACATTTGCATGAAATTAGTGGCTGTTTCTTGAAGACGTGAGGTCCTGTGTAGCCACTCTGTGCGGGCTCCTAAGTAGAGCATGACAAAGCATCTCAAATGACTGTCACAGTGTCCCTGCCTGCTAAGGATAGGGGTGGGCTCAGAGACATGTCCTATGTCTGGGTAGACCAAGGTGCTATGCAGTATGTCATCGAGTTTTAGAGTGACAAATTGCAATTGTGACAGCCTGGCACATTTGCCTCTTCATTTGGCCCCATTGAGGCAGTGTCACCAGAAGTCAGAGAAAGTCCCAGATCCAAACTGCCATCCTTTGATTTAAGCTGCCATTTGGTCCCTCACACTGTTGGAGCTTTATGGCCACACATGGCATATCTTAAGCCAGACACCAGGGCCACCTCTCACATTCACACTAGAAGCATCATCTCTGGTGATGGCTCCCTGTTGCTATTATTGGCAAGTAGTTTGAAGGGGCTACATCTGACATTGAGGTTCTAACACATGTGCCTCTGAGGCCAACCCTGACCCTCTGAGGTCAGACCAGTGTTGCCAAGAACAGTAGGGCTCCACCCCCCACCCCCACCCCCATTTTATCTGTGTGTGCCCGGAGCAGAGTCTTCTTCCTGCTGCACCCATGACTTTTTTTGGGTAATGTCCTTAACTTCCAGATTCTATGTCTCAGTGTTAAAAACCAGACATGATGCCAGTCATCTTTCTGTTACTGTTCAAAATAATCTTAAGGAGGAAAGGTTCATCTTGGCTTCAAGTTTCAGTCTGTGGCCTGATCTGGGGGTGTCTACGGTAAGGACACACATCATGGAGGAGGAGAGTGTGTTGTGGAACAAATTGTTCATGAGACCAGAAAGGGAGGGAGAGACAAGGAGCCTGTCATACCGCAGTGGGGACCTTCCTCCCACTAGATCCTATTTCTTAATGCTTCCACTCCTCCCCAATGCCAAGGTGAGGACCTTGCCTTTGGGGGACATCCAAACCCCAAAGGGGTGGGTGACTCTGGCTGTGAAAGGTTAATAAAAGCCAGGGCAAGACACCAGGGAGTGGATGATGCCCAAGGCTTTCTGAGGCACTCCCTGGGGGGCAGTAGCCCTCAGTGTGCTGACGGGGCATGGGAGGAAGGGATAAGTCAACTTGCCCTGTCACAGCAGGTTGCTCCAGTGGCGAGCATGGGGACACTCAGGCCACTTGACACTTAGGCCTGGAAATCCGATCAGAGGGTTAGAGGCCTTGAGCCAGTTGTTCAGTCAGGAAAACGACCTGCCCAGGGTGCATATAACAAACTTAAATCAACTGCAGAATTAAAGAAACCCATGGATCTTGATACACTAATATCGATCATGCTAAGTGATTTCTGTCCTTCTGTCTGGATGCTCATGACCATTGTGGCTGTGAAGTTTCTCTTAGATGTTGTCACCAGTAACTTCAGCAGGCAGGACTCAGAGTCCCATGGGAGAACCACTTTTGCCAGACAAAGAATGTCAATTTTTTCCCCCCGTATTCTGTCTCAAGTGTTGGGGACTGACTGTGACTGCCTGTGCATGGTCCTGTGGAGGCTCCTAAGTAAAGCATGACGAGGGATCTGAAGTGTCAGTGGCCCTGGGGTTGGATGGCATCAGATAACTGTTACAGTGACCCTGCCTGCAAACAGTGGGGGTGGGCTTGGCTCAGAGATGCCTTCTGTGTTTGGGTAAACCAAGGTGCTATGCAATAGTATCAGTATGTCACTGAGTTTTAGACAAGTTACAGCTGTAACTTGTATTTTCTGTGTTTTTCTCAAGTGGAATAAAATATTTCTTCTGTGAAGGAAACATGACTCCCTCTTTTCATATATGGATATTAGTAACAGAGTTAAAATCTGAGGGACAGGTTTGGAGAAGATGGCAGTGATTCCTGCCTCCTGCTGGGCCTGGGCTAGTTGCTGTAGGCTCTTGCTGTGCACAGGCTTGTGTGGCAAAGGAAGGACAGACAGACCAAGTGGTAACCAGTGCACTCTGGTCCACTGACCTCCACAATGTGCTTCATAGTTCAGTGGTCTATGGGAGACACACATGCCATGGAATTCATTTTCTGCTAACCTATTGCATTTTGGTGACTGGGGTCCTTTTGAAAGGAACTTTTCCATTCTTAAATCCTGTGCATCTGTGTCTCTGTGGGTATACACGTGTGAATGTAGAGCCTTGGAGTTCAGACAGGAGTGTAGGACCCACTGGAACTGGAGTTATGGGCAGTTGTCAGGTGCCTGATGTGGGTGATGAAAACTACACTGGGGTCCTCTGACCAGCAGAGCCATCTCTTCAGTCCCTGAGAAAGTGGATGTGTTGAAGAAATAACTCATCATTTTGGTTGGGCATAGTGCTTCATGTTAAACACTAAGGAATTCTTAATATTGGACATGCTGACTTACAGTAGGCAGACAAGGATCCAGGCCAGGTTAGGCACTGCCTGCCTGTACTAGGCAGAATAAACACCAAGGGTCATGAATTTGACAGTCTTGTGGGCTAGACCAGGCCAGGCCCCGGGCCATACTTAGCTGGTAGAGAAAGCTTAAAGTCATGTGAAAGATGGCTGCAGCCAGGAGCAAAATGTACCCAAGTATAACCTATCCAGTTCCTTTTTCGTTGGTTACCAGGCATTTTGTGCAGTCCTCTCAGGAGTAGGCCTTGCCTATCACCATTTTACAGGTAGAAATCTAAGAGCCTGCCCCAGATGGCAGCCTCGGTGTTTGTGTTCTTCCTGTTCCATAGCCTTTCTGCCCTGGTACCCACCAGCCTACTCTTGGTGGGGCTGATGGAGACCCTGATGACTTACATGGTGTCCAGACTCTAGGGTAGCTGGGTGTCTCTGAAAGCACCAGTGGTTGTGGTCTCTCAAGGCAAGGCTTCAGGAGACCGTGATGGAGAGAATTAGACAATCTGGTCCACAAGAACACTGGCCAGTGCTGGTAAGAGTCATCCATTGCAGAGGTCCAAGAACTGTGGCTGGTACTGAAGTGTCCACCTCTTTTTTCCCTTTGTGGGGAGGGAGAGTCCTGGGGATTGACCCCTGGCCCTAGCATCTGTTATACCAGTTAGGGTATGGTCCTAGCTGGGTCCTATTTTGTTGTTTTCAAACTTATATTCTAGACAAGTGCTCTACCTCTTGGCCACATCTCCTGCCCTAGTTCCCTTCCCCCTATTTGCTGGTGTAAAAACTCAGTGAATGTGGTGTCTAAGCCCGAGACCCAGACTCCTCCCTCATCTATGAGTCAGCCTGGCTTGTGTTGGTAACGTCCTCCTCCTTCGCTCACCCATCACATGGTGGGAGAGGGTTTCTTCATTCTGATTCCCAGGGAGAAGGGCTGGCCGTTCACCAGGCTGAGCAGGGCCACCTGGGTGGGCAAAGTGGCTAGGACTGCAAAGCCAGGTAACTCAGTGCAGCTGCTGAGGACAGGTGACGTTAGCCCGCCTCCCCCACTGCTCACTGTTCCTGGGAGGAACAGCACCATGATGGCAGCTTCAACCTGTACCCCTTCCTACCCCTGCTCAGAGTGGCAGAAGGTCCCAGAGACTGCCTCACCAGGGCCATCGGTGACAGGAGCACTGCTTAACACCTCTCCAGGCCTTAATGTGCTCTTCAGAAAGCACTGATTGATTAATTAGTTTATGCCATAACCCTAGCCCATAATTTGCTATGGAGTCTAGGCCTGTTCCCATCTCCTTCACATGCGACTGCATTTGGTTATTTTAAGATACTATTTCATTGCCTGAATTCAGGACGAAGGTGTTTTGTTTTGTTTTTAACCTTCCATCCATGCACACATGCTTTGGTTCTTCATTAACCTTTCAGAACAAAAGAAGTGATGTGATAACCAGACAGGGCCCTGGACCCCTACCCTCAAGGTGTTGATAGGCAGCAAGGGGATGTGATAAAGGCTCTGGACCCGAGAGGTTGATGGGTAATGTGTTAACTGGGAGAGTCATAGTAGGTTCTCTAGATGAGCTGGTATTTCCTCAGCTACACTCAAAAGGGCAATGGAAGTCAGTGACACAGTGACGTTATAAGGAATGATCAAAGGACTAGAGGGTGGGAACTGTGCACACAAGAAACTGAGTAGCCAGTGACCTGTGGGTAGGGAGTGTAAATGGAATTTTGGGGAACTGTGGCAGGAATGGTTTGGGGCCAGACGTGCAACAACCTGAGTTCTACATTTCAGAGCTTGGCATTATTTCAGGGAAATTAGAAGTGACTCATGGCGGCATGAGGAGGCCAACACCAATGAAGTAAGTTTCCTTACTATGTCTGTTATTCCTAATTCTTTTGTTCTTAGATCTGTGAGTTCATGTTTCTTTTGGTTTGGAAAATAGCAGTCATCCTTAAATATTCTCGATTATTCTTTTCTAGTGTAGCGTGAGTTCCAATTAATCTTAATAAAAATCCTTAGTCAGATATAGCAATAAATGCTGAAAGAACAGAGTAAAGGAGCCAGCCACTAGAAGGTACAGAGTGACATTTTTCTGAGATCTTTTTGGACAGCTCCTGGAGGAGCAATGGGGATCTGGGGCTGTAACTCAGTGGTAGAATACTAGCCCAGAATGTACAAGGTCTGGGTTCAATCCCCAAAACTGCTTGCCCCCCCAAAAGTTAGGATGCCATTCATAACTCTGAAACACAAATACATAAATGAAGCTATTTATGACGGAAGAAGGGCACACAAAATAAAAAAAACGCCTACAGGTGAGCCCAACTGTGTAACAAAGAACCACACACAAAGGGGACAGGAACAAAGTAACAGTTAAGCATGTTCCTGACTGGATAATGTAAAGAACCCCCAAACTCACTCACTCTCTTCCATGCTTTAATGTAGCCAGTAAATGTGCATTCCCCATGAAGGGATGGGATGGTAAATCCGCAGCTAGTTTCTGTATGTACTAGAATGGAGTACACCAGAGGATCGTAAGAGGAACTGGGGTTCTTCACAGCAGTGAAGCTAGCAAGCTACAAGTGAAGAGACAAGCCAAATACAAGGATGCAGCCAAGTGAACTCAACAGCCTTAGGCACGTCGTTGAATGAGCTAGCATCCCCACAGCTGCCAGTGTGCAAACAGAGCCCAACGTTCAAACACCCCAGTAACAGCACACACTCCTACAGCATAGATGTCATTCTGTAATAAAAACGAACCTCGAGGAAGCAGCTGACCCAGGTTAAGGAGAGGGAAAACGAAAGTATGGAACATCTTGTGGTATAAGAAGCAAGGATGTGCTGGAGCCTGGACAGGAAGTGCTGGAAAACTGGTGTGTTGATCTGATGGTGCTCCTAAAGGCCCAAACTAGAATAGTTTGTGGATCGACATGATAGATTACAACCCACACACTAAAGTGCATTGCTGACAATCCCTAAGATGCACCCAAGTTGGGAGGGGGGATCAGCCACACCTCAGAGTTTAATCCCCATTGATGAATGTAGACGGTAACAGGCAATGACTACACTAAAAACTGCTGAGGACAAGATGCAAGGTGGGTGAAAGTTGGGGAAACCTAGTCAAGACACTTACCAATTACAAACAGGACATCACTTCACAGTGAAGCCTAGCAGGAACCTTCACCCTGGTGAAGACAGCCATCTGTAGTGAGGCATCGGCACCATCAATTCCAGAACTAACTAGGACATAGCGCTTAGGGTTATTCTTGCCTAAATGTAGCACCTCATTCCAGTCACCATCAAACTCATCCACAGCTGAGTGGTGCTTTGATGGACAGGTGGCTGGGAGTGGGCTGTAGCCCTCCAGCTGGCACAGAGCTCTGAAAATCACTTTCTCGGCTGGTGCCACTCACACACAAAATCAGCTTAAAATTGAGATAAAGGCTAGAACAAGGCACCCATGGGAGCTGACTAGGAACTCGAAGTGAATTGATATTAAGTAGCTACAGCTGTGGTTAGAATATTTTTAGCCACAGGGCTCCAGCAGCTTTCAAAACCTGCTAATAAGAGTCCCATTATAGCTAGCAAGCAAAGCCAGTGCAAAAAATTAACTTAATTTGACACCAAGAATCTGCTTAGCTAGGAGCTGACTCTCAAGGCAAAGGAGAGGAAGAGGACAATTTTTTCCCCCCCTGTGGGTTTGAACAACTGTTTGGGGCTGCTTTGGCTTCCTGGCTCAGTAATGACCAGAATGGTGACTGACTAATGGGAAGGGGTCAACTGTGCTGTAACAGAAGGCTATCTCAACTAAAGTACAGCTTTATCTTGTTTGCCTTGACCTCAGTGCAGTATATATGCAACATGGACAAAATGAATCTTGTCATAACCCTTGAAGATAAACGGGACATGACAGTGAGTGCTAATATCCACCCATGAACGATTCTGGATATTTGCTGTGGGGAGTGTAGTTCTTGGAGATCGAATGGATTTAATTGAGCTGCAACATAGCCAGGCTGCTACTGGGAAAGAGATGGCTGCTGGCTGCTTCCAACAGGCTCCAGGGCTGTCTAGATGCCACAGGGTGAGACTGGGGAGCAGGGATGCCTGGTGGCTAACCCAGCACTTACTGTTCCCCCAGGCAAACATGACAGAGTCTGGAAGTTTGGTCAAAGCCAGGCCATCTTTACTGGAGTGAGTGCAGGAGACAAACAGCTTACAACGACCTCTAGTATTGTCTTAACCATTTGATAAAAACTTCACTATAATATTTATTGTATAATGAAGAAAAAACAACACATTCAGGGAAAATTGAGATTAACTTATTTTTCTTAAAAGGTTCATCTCAAGGATGGCAACAAAGTCCAGCTTGTGCCGCCAAACGGTTTTACATGATCAAACCGTGTACAGCTT